GGTGCTGAGAATTGAACCTAGTGTCTCACACATGCTAGGCAAGTGCTCTACCACTGAGCTACAACCCACCCTAAAATTGACGATTTCAACCTTTTTAAGGGTACAGTTCTATGGCGTTAAGTACATTGTCGTACAATCATAACCACCATCCATCTCCAGAACTTTCTCATCCCCGATTGAAACTCTAACCCACTGCTTTCCCCTCCCCTCAGCCCTGGACAACACCATTCCACTTTCTGCCTCTATAATAATGACAACTCTAGGTACCTCACATGATGATCATATAGTATTCGTCTTTTCATGACTGACCTATTTCACTTAACATGATGTCCTCAAGGTTTACCCGTGTTGTAGCATGCATCAGAATCTCCTTCCTTTTTAAGGCTGAATAATATTCCTTTGCAGGGATAGACCATACCTTCTCTATCCTTTCATCTTGGACACTTGAGTTGCTTCTACCTCTTTTTTTTAAATATTTTTTTTAGTTGGACCTTTATTTTATTTATCTATTTATATGCAGTGCTAAGAATCAAATCCAGTATCTCACACATGCTAGGCAAGCACTTTATCACTAAGCCATAACCCCAGCCCTGCTTCCACCTCTGAAATGCTGCTGTGTTCACAAGTGTACAGATAGATATCTGTTCAAATCCCTCCTTTGAAGTCTTTGTGTATATACCCAGAAATAGAATTGCTGGATTCTATGGTAAGTCTATATTTAATTTTTTGAGGAATCACCACACCGTTTTACACAACAGTTACAACATTTTACATTCCCACCAACTACACAAGGGTTTTGATTTCTCCACATTCTAATCAATATTGGTTTTCTGTTTCTGTTTTTGCAGTGCTGGCTTTGGGACCCAGGGCCTTGAACATGCTGGGTAAATGCTCTGGGTAAATGTCTCTGAGCTGCACCCCCAGCCTCTGTGATTTCCCTTTTTGTAGTAGCCTTCCTAATAGACAGGAGGGCATTTCTCATTGTGATTTTGATGTATCTATCCCTAATGATCAATGATGTTGAACATCTTTTCATGTGGCGCCAACTAAATGTAGATCTTCTTTGTGCGGTGTCTACATTTTTAAGTCTCCTCATCTCAATGCCCTGAAGGTTGTCATTGGGGACTATTTTCTCTTTGAGATTTCATGTGTCCCATCAGGCCTGGACTTGCTCCCAGTGGAGACATGTTTGTGTGAGTGGGAAGTGGGAAGGAAAAGGATCCAAAAAGAGAGATCGTGCCCAGCCTTGGAACCACCTGGGGAAGTTCGATATCAGGGATTTCAAGTCTACATCCTGAGAAATCCAGAAACCCAAGCT